GGAAGACCCACAGACTGACAGACAGACAGACAGACAGACAGACAGACAAAAAGACAAATAGATTGTCAGACATACAGACAGACTGACTGACAGGTAGGAAGACCCACAGACTGACAGACAAACGGACTGACAGATGAATAGATTGTCAGACAGACAGACCAACAGACTAACTGGAAGGAAGACCCACAGACTGACAGACAGACAGACAGACAGACTGACTGGCAGGAAGACCGACAGACTGACAGACGGATCAGCAGACAGACTGACAGAATGACAGACAGACCAGCAGGAAGACCCACAGACAGATTGTCAGACTGACAGACAGACCAAGAGACAGTCAGACCAGCAGACAAACAGACAGCCTGCCAGCTAGACAGACAGACAGACTGGCAGGAAGACCCACAGACTGACAGACAGACAGACCAGCAGGAAGACCCACAGACAGATAGATTGTAAGACAGACAAAAAGACCCACAGACAAACAGACAGACGGACCAGCAGGAAGACCCACAGACAGAAAGCTTGTCAGACAGACAGGCAGAAAGACCCACAGACAGAAAGACAGTCAGACCAGCAGACAGACTGACAGAAAGACCAGCAGGAAGACCCACAGACAGACAGATTGTCAGACAGACAGGCAGGAAAACCCAGACAGAAAGATTGTCAGACAGACAGGCAGGAAGACCCACAGACAGACAGACAGACAAACAGTCAGTCAGACCAGCAGGAAGACCCACAGACAGACAGACCAGCAGACAGACTGACAGACAGACCAGCAGGAAAACCCATAGACAGATTGTCAGACTGACAGACAGACCAAGAGACAGTCAGACCAGCAGACAAACTGACAGACAGACAGCTAGACAGACAGACTGACAGACAGACAGACAGATAAGCAACTTCACAAAAATCAACAAAATATTTGAATGTCAACCGTGTTGTTTTATTGTGGTAAAAATGTTCTCGTAAAGATCTGGGAAAACAAAAACAACACAACTTCATCGCGTGCAGCTAGTTGTCAGGATGTAAACAAACCGAACATCTGATCGGTGTTTGGCTAAAAGTTTGTAAATGTCACTACAAATCAGAAAGGGTCTGACCTAAAGCTGGTTGAAGAGCTTGGAGCATCCCACTTAGCCTCAAGTATTCATAAACAAAATATTTAGTCTATTCATCAATTTTCTAACATTCTGAAAGCAATAATTTGTGACGTTCTTTCAGTTGTGATTTCAGTTGGTACGTTGCAGCTGTAGTTGCACTAACAGGAAACTTTAAACAAAAGCCAAAACACTGTTTGCTGCTCTAGAATGAACCATAAAATAAAGATGTAGTTAAATTTTTTATTGTTGCAAATGCAATATTATAAACAGCTAAAAAGACCAGATACAAATAAAACTATTTGTGGGTGTTTATGCAACATGTTTTTCAAAGAACATGAACAATTAAATGTGTACTTGGACAAAAATAACAAATCAAACAATGCAGCTAAAACATTTACAGATTTGTCAAAAGAAAATAAATGAACGCTTTGTTAAACGTTATTTAGGTTTCATAGCATAAATAACCATATCTCGCTTTTATCCTTAACCCTCTGTGCAACAAAATAAAACTATAATTATTAGTTTTTATATTTTTTCTTAAACATCAAAGTACTTAAATTTAAACATATCAAATATTACAACTAAAGCAGAAACTTCACTTTGATACAAACACAAAATGAAAGTATAAATTTGACTATATTTTCAAAGTCACACAGATTCAATCAGTTTTTGCAGCAAAATGAAGAAACATGTCTCTCCTTTCATCATTTATGGAGATATGCATCGAGCCAGAGCTCCCCCGAGGTCTTCAAAGAACTGAGAAAAGTGAACAAAACAGCACTTTATTGCATAAAATACATAAAATTATTGTATCTATTCATGTCTTTGATTTGAGGTTTTGTTGCTCATCCTTTTAGTCTACCTGACAACATCAGCCATTCCTCGCCACAAAGATTTCATCTCGTAAGGAATCCTGTGTTTTTCACACAGCGCTCGAACCCGCGCGGCCACCAGGTGGTAGTTGTGACGGGGCATCATGGGAAACAAACTTAGGGAGGAGAAATTTAAAATACACGTCTGTTAGATGAAACAGCAATTAAAGTCACTTTCCAACACCCTGGAGTAAACATTCCCAAGGAGGCCGAGCAGTGAGCAGTTCTTTTTAAACACCAGGACCACCACCCTGACCCGCTCCGTAGGTCCTCTGGGCAACACTGAACAGGTGTGTCAATCAAGACAGCAGTAATCAAATGTCATCCGCTCCGTGCCTCATTGGTGAAAAGCTTTTTAACTACCTCATCAACGTCTGAAAGTAGGGATGCACGATATTAACGGCACGGTATCAGTATCGGGCGATATTAGCGATAAAGTTAAAAATTGGCCATCGGCCATTCCATCAAAATAACTCACTATATATATATATATATATATATAAATATATATATAAAAATAAAGTGCTGTTTTTGTATGGCAACCCATGGACAAGGATGCCTGCAGTGCCAGTACAATGTTATGACATGACGTGCACTGTTGAGTTTAGATTTGCAAAAATTTACAAATTTGCACTGTTCAGTGTTGTCATCGTGTTAGAGAGTAAATGTCATGAATAAATTTGACATTAAACATATCCATTTTGAACTGTTACATCATTTTCAGCCAATTTTTGGCATCTGCATTTGGCAGCAGCCAAACTGACAAAGACCATGCAGAATAATGTAGTATTTTATTTTCACAGCAGTGAAAGCTCTGTAGTCTCTGTAAGTAGGTCTAGGGGAAAATATCGGTATTGGTATCGGTTATAGGCTAATTACGTTTTATCATATCGGCACATCGGATATCGGCCAAAAATCCATCCATCCATCCATCCATCCATTTTCTTTACCCGTTTGTTCCATTTTGGGTCACAGGGGTCGCTGGTGCCCATGTCCAGCAATCACAGTGCGAGGGGCGGGGTACACCCTGGATGGGTCCCAAGTCCATCACAGGGCCACATAGAGACAAACGAGACAAACAACCATTCACTCTCTCACTCACACCTAGGGACAATTTAGAGTTACCAATCAGCCTAACATGCATGTTTTTGGTCTGTGGGAGGAAACTGGAGCACCCGGAGAAAACCCACGCATGCACGGAGAGAACATGCAAACTCCACCCAGAAAGGCCCCTGGACCGGGGTTTGAACCAGGGACCTTCTCACTGAGAGGCAGCAGCTCTACCAGTTGCGCCACCGTGCTGCCCCGGCCAAAAATCCAATATCGTGAAAGGGTAAAAATCGTACTTTCTTCCAAGTCCTCAGATTCTGCATCAGCAGGGAATGGGGTTACCATACTGAATAAACCTTCAAAATGTTTCCGTCAACAGTCCCCCACCCAAACCTTTTCAGAGATGCTCCTAAACTTTCCATAAGGTCAATCAAATATTCAACCCATTAGTTTCTTCTAATTCCTACCACACCTGACTTTTGCCTTCTGAGGCCACCAAAGCTGCAGCCCTTTAAGCTATTTGGTACCCGTCGGCTGCTTTAAGAGTCGCCCAAGACTTTGGTCTACCCCTACATAAAAAATAATAATAATAATCCGGACACCCCTAGAACCAGGGGTGATTGCAGAAAGCATAGCAGTAGGGTGAAGTAGTAGAGAAAGTGATAAAATATGTGTCAAACTGAATTATTACACTTACTGGTGTTCGATTTGAAAGTTGAGGTGTCCACTGAACCAATCATTGAAGGAGGACTGCTCAATGTTACACGTGGATTGTAACTGAAAATAAAAGAGTGTAGATATTTTATAACGTTCCTCAATTAGTTCAGTTAGCCTAAAGCACAATATGGTGTCGCTGCAAAATGTGCTAAAGTTTTACATAAGGTTGTATTTTACTGTATTGTTTACTTTTATTATACAAACAATAAAACCAAGCACGATCATCCAAAACAACTTATTTGTATTCTTGGTCTGATAAAAAGCTCAGTGTTTTATTATTTGATGGAAAAATGTTGAGATCTCAAAACAGTTTTCAATTAAAAGCACGGCAATAAAAATCTGTTGAATGGAAGTCGTAAAGCAGGTACCTGCATGGTCAGCCAGTCCTGGTGCCTCTCGTACTCAATCTCCATTGGTATATGATTCATCTGAGTTACCCACACAAACCAGTGGCTTTCTAAAAACCTGTAAAACAAACAAACAAACAAACCAATAAATAAATGTGGTGTTAGCTTTATGATCAAGCTTTGTTGTCCTGATGTATCAATTGTCTTTAGGGGTCGTTCACATATTTCATCATTATCACTATAAACCATACACTAGGGGTTCATGGGCTGGTGCACACTTTTCAAATAGCAAAACATTATGACCAGTTTTTGATATGCCCTGAACAACTGACATGTTGTCAATCTCCCGTAAGGCAAATAGGTTCATTTGAAAGACATTTCTGTGAAATGGCTGCACAGACCAGTCCTTCCTCTAACGGTTCGTAAATCACAGGTGAAGCGTCCACGTCCTGCTCAAATGTGAGCTTTCAGAAATGAATCGAGGCGAGCGGAAGCAAAAGAGGCGGAGCAGAACTCTGCCGGGCTGAAGCAAAGCACGAGGCATTAAGTGTGTCAGTCTCCAAAGAGTGCGCTCGTGAAAATGATGAAATATGTGAATGACGCCTTAACAAATTAAAAAAAGAAATATCACGATAAATTAAAACTGTTTTTTTGTTGATATTTTTAGTTATTTACCTTACAAAGGTTAGGAGTGCCAGTGAGCCAAAGACGCCGTACAGTGGTGAATAACAGCAGAAGTAACGAAGGTAGTACGTCATGGCCCAAGCTAAATCCTTAAAAAAAATAAAAAATAAAAATAGTTTATACAGTTTCACAATTGATCAAAAGAATGAATTGTCTTATCTTTCAGAAATTATGCATACACACAGTGACAAACAACCCCGCAAATCTAAGCACCCCAACAGCATGTGCTGAATTTTGGCTGATCCCACATCTGTTATAAGAGAAAGGGATCTGACTGGTTAGTGGAGGACCTCAACATGACTCAAATGGTCCATAGTTGCATGTTCTATGTGTGGATGGGTGTTGTCTCATTGAGAGACTGTACCAGGGTTCTGTCTCAGGAGGTGTAAGACATGAAAATGGGATGTCATTGACATAGAGTTTTACCATTAGAGTCTCCCAAATCCCTTTCAAATGTAAAGTCATGCTTTTGTGAGGATGGTGTCCTCTTGTGGTGGGTTTCTGTCCTGCTTCTTGTAGTCACTCCTTGTTACACCTGTGAGTCTGCACTTGTCTCGTTATTATGTGTGTATTTAAGTCTGCGCCCCCTGTTCCTTGTCAGCTGGTCATTGTCTGGTGTCTGTAGATGTCAAGCTCTGCTCCTTGTGATTTCCTACGTGTCTCCTACTCGAGTAAGTTTTGCTGCCACATCAGCATTTTGGTTTGTTTAAATAAAGAGTATTTATTTTACGCTTAGGAATTTTCTGTGGTTTGCTTGCACCATTGGGTTCAACTTCTAAAACCACCAATTACAACAGTTTTGCCTCCCCACACCGTAGGCTCTTTCATAAAACAGTTCTGTGACCAGTCCGTCTTTATGCTGCCTCTGTCCGCTCATGAATCACAGACGGAGCCGGCCCTGTACCACAAACACTCAAACTTACAGAAAGAGTTGAGTTCTCCCAGCTTCGTGAAACCTAATGAGGCTTGAAGCAGAACTCAGCTGGGCTGATGTAAAGCGCAGCGCTAGGCATGTCGCGATAAACAATAAATCAATTAATCACATTATAAATGAAAATTATCGACCTCATTTTCATTAATCGGCTTTATTGTTTCTTCGTGTCTCTCTCTTTCTACCGAAGACACTGGATGACAAAAGGCTCAAATCTGGTGCTCTACACTGACCCCCTCCCTTTCTCTTTTCTCTTTTAAATCAGTGTTAACTGTCCAAAATTGCATTTTTGGATTATTAAAAGCAGCTAAGCTGAGAAGCTAAGCTAACAGGCCGACCTCTGGAAAAAAATCTCCATCTTGTCGAAGGTCCAAAATTCACGGTTGGAACCCATGTCTTAGTCTAAAAAGTTGTTTTTCTCTGCAAAAAGAAGCTGAGAACTTTACTGATTTTTTTATTGTTTTGTGCGACAAATGCTATGCTAAAGAGCTCAAACCACACAGAGTGTCCGCCATTTTGAGAACCAAAAAACAGGAACTAGAGACAGCCCATGTCATGTCAAGGGGCCTTCCTCCCATTTTTCTAAAAGCGACACGTTGTTCACTCCCTCACTATCCATCCTTTGGTTCAAACAGTCTTATACTGCCATCCAGTGGTCAAAAAGGTACTACACTCAAAAATTTACCAATGTTTCTTCTTAAATTTGACATTACTAATTACTGTCAAATTTCAAACAATATTATCGTTTATCGCAATTATTTCTGAGACAATTAATCACCCAGCAAAATTTGTTATCGTGACAGGCCTACGCAGAGCATTAAATGTGTGATAGACGTCTGTCTCATGTCGTTTTGAAAAACATGATGCATTGGTTTAGTTTAATGATTCTCTTTGTGACAACAAAGTCCATGCTCAATAATCCAGGTATACAATCCAACATTTTTCAGTCAGGTCATCTGGACAGTTTCTTTTTTTTTGTGCTGAAACGTTTCGCCTTCGGTCCGGAAGGCTTCATCAGTCAACTTCATCAGTTTCAACCAGTTTGACAAGACTGTCAAGAAGGAAGAGGGTCGGCAATGGAGGAGAGCGCATACCAAAGAGACCATCTTATCACAAGCAGAACTGGTTTGTTCAACTTTGGAGTAAGCTGTTGGGGGAAGAATCAGTTTTGTTCTGTGTTTCCTTGACTGATGATGCCTTCCGGACCGAAGGCGAAACGTTTCAGCACAAAAAAAATATATAGAAACTGTCCAGATGACCTGACTGAAAAATGTTGGATTCTCTTTGTGATTAACAAGTTGTATAATCAAATCAATCAATCAATATATCAAATAAAATAAATGTGTTGTTTGTTTAATCCTGCAACTGGATGCACCAACAAATGTAACCACTTCATCTTATTGAGCAGCGGCACTGGCTTCATTTTTCCCATGTCTGCTGTTCTGCCTCTGTTACTACCTCTCTTCGCACTCAGAGGCACATCAGGGACAGACTGACTCCAATCCCCTCACAACTTTGACACATTCAGAATTCACACAGAAGGACTCTTAAGACTCGACCTGAGTTGTCTTGTGATGAGTAACACAAGCGTGTTTCGATCGCAGCATGATTGGTCTTTTCCCTTTTGGCCCTGTCATAAATGCACATCCATCATCTATGGCAATACAGAACCAATATTCAACACTTAATACAATAAGATGGCACTCACCATCAATCTATACCTCTCGGTTACAATATCCCTCCAAACACAGCCACCTCTGTTCTGGTTGCTCATGTGGGTGCTCATGTGTACACATTGGTCCCAGTATTGGGTCACTGTCACACCTGTACACTCAACACACTGGGCAGTTGCACAGTACAATCATGTAGCCTCATGCAAACCCACAATGCAATCCCTCTCAACTCCATCAAGAGCGAGTCATGCTGTCTCATGTGCCTCTGAGGTATCCTCTGATCTTCACTCCCTGTTTTCAGTGACTGTCCAATGCTGCAGCATCGGTTTTACACGCCGTTTAAATGGAATCCTTTGCATGGCCGTCACTGATCTTTTAACGTACCTTGAAATCAAACAATTCATTTTGGGCGCTTATTTTAGTGTTTATTTTTGATGTTATGTTAAACGTTTATCCAATGACAAAGCTTCATATAATCAGCATCATAGTAAACAAAGTCCAGAATCTTACCACCCAGTCACGACGGGAAATCATTGTCTGCATGATCTGAATGTGGAAGTAAACTGGGATGAGCAGAGGTGGTCCCACTGCAAAATAAAATAGCAATAATATGAATTATTCCTGGTTGTTAAGTCAAATTATTATTGCATTTTTTTAATTCATCAAACCTACCAAGAAAGTAGTAGTGATGCTGGTAATTATAGGGCATGTGTTTGATCTTTTTAATGCCGTACTGTAACAAAAAGCAGTACAGAGGTAGATGAGCAGCTAAGATGAATAAGAATTAAAAGTACTTCTTCAAAAGTCTTTGAGCTACTTACCTCCACAGGTTGAGTATTCCCAAGCACAAAAACATGCAACATATTGACATCCGGATCTTTCCTGAAGATGTTGGGTTTGGCGTGATGCTGGAAATGTCGATGATTCCACCAGTTGGCTGAGGCTCCCTGTAAAACAGTGGTTTGACACCATCCATCCCTTATCTTTACCTTCTTGTTCCTTTCAGGGTGGCAAGCGTCAATGGTTTTTTTTTTTAATACACAAATGTTACCTTTAAATGTCCGATGACAAACTTGTGCACCAGGTGATTCCACTTGGACTTCTTAAAGACAGACAGGTGACCAAAGTCGTGCTGCAGCCATCCGGCCTGAGACTAGTGAAGATAAATAAGTGCATCAAGACTTTTGGTTTTTTTATTACGTTAAATTTAAATTGCCACAACAATTCCACTAACAGGTACATTATCATTGCTGTCAGAGGCACAATAATTACCTGAGCAGTTGCCAGCATGAGTGCACACAGTAATGTCAGCATCCAGCTCGTCCCCCAGTATGAAACCATGAGCCAGGCGAGGGCCTCCAGCAGCAGGATGTGACCCAGGTGGAGGCAGAAGAACAGAGGCCGAGCACGGAAAAGACCCTCTTTCTCCACTTGTTCTCGTAAATCCTCAAAATCCTGTATGATTCTCACCTGCAGAGGATAAAACAGAGTCCTTAAAAAAGGAAATACATAATTGAGATCATTCATTAAAATCTAGGAAATAGCTTTTTCTTCATGTATTTTCCCTCAGTGAAACAAACATGCAACTCATAACACACAAATGTCCAGATTCTCCTGACTTCTATTCTGGGAACTGAATTTAGAAACCCACATCTTTCTTCCCGTCCTGACTCGGTTCTGTTGGTGCCAACTCTCCAACCAGCAGAGGCTTCAGAAACTTCTGCACCAACTTTGGATCAGGATGAAAAGCAGCGAAGGCTTCCTGCGAAAGAAAAACGACGACTCTGTCAATGATTTCAGGGAGGCAGAAAAAGTTACTAACTAAAAAAAAAAATACTTGAACACAAGATTTCCCACTTCTACTGTACATTCTTATGCATTAAACACAGAAACAAGCCTGAAACGGTAATAAGAATGTCTCTAATGTTTCATATTGTTTTCTGTCGTGCTTTCATTGTCTTTATCTGTGCTGTTTTTACTAAATAGTTAGTGGACTTTGAGTGACAGGTAAATCCAACACTAAACTAAAAAGAGATCATTGAAGATCTGTAATGAGTTTAGATCCATACTATAACATCTGTTTTCTAATAAAAAACGTGATTATTGGCCTGAATGGCAATAAAGATTTGCACAATTAACTGGTCAGATTGACATTTAGAGATAATCTATTATGGCATGAGGTGATGTTTATTACAGAGTGAGCTCAGTTACACGTAAAAACACTGGTCAAAGGTCACGTTTATATTCATTTAACGTTAGTGATCATTTCTACATTGTCCTTAGTTCAAAAGATGAAAATCATAAATATCCCTAATTTTCATCTTTCTTTTTCTGGATGAAATTAACGTCCATTAAATAAAAATCACAGTTTTCTTTCTCAAAACATTTACAACTTTAGACTAAACGGCTAAGTTTTATATATAAACATGTTCTGGTTTTTGTCAGGTTTTTAAAACTGGGTCAGCACAATCTTACATTAACAGCGACACATGACATTTAACACCCCCTTCTTATTTATTTAACAGACAACAAAGCCGGGGTGCAGTGAGCGTAACCTAAGAACGCCTTCATCGCCCCCAAAGGAGTCGAGAGCGTCAGCTTCGTTCATGTGCTGCTAATTAAATCCACTTGATCCCTATTACATCATCACAAGCGTGAGCTGCTCTGTGGCAGCGGGGCTTTTGGGAGACTGATGGTTTCAGGTGAGCGTTCAGGTGTGCAAACACCGTAAAGACTGTTTCTGCATCATAAGGCCATTTCCAAACAATATGAAATTTATTTACAGAACTATAGAAATTAAATAACTCAAATTAGTTGACATGTAAATGGTAAATGGACTGTACTTATATAGCACCTTTATATCTTACCAAGGTACTCAAAGCACTTTACACAACAATCTGTGCCTCATTTACCCATTCATACAGCACTCTACTAGATCTATATAAAGACTAATCAGAGCTTTATCACATTCATACACCGATGGGACACATCGGAGGCAATGAGGGGTTCAGTGTTTTGCCCAGGGACGCTTGGGCATGTGACTGTTGGTGGAATTGAACCCCCAACTCTTGCATTAGAGGACGACTGCTCTAACCACTCAGCTACAGCTGCCCATGTAAAAAAAAAAAGTGTAAAAAACAAAACAAAAAAAAAACAATCAAGACTTTAGCCCCTTATTACCAGGAGTGGACTTTTTTCTCTCACTAGAGATAAATAAATAAAAAAATGCAAATCACAAGAGAACAGCCTCGATATAAAAGCTTATAAACCAGAGGACTTAGAACGATGTCCTTTACACAGATGAGTCACTTTTTGCATGGTGGTGGAGAGACGATGGTTTTGATGGGCTGGTCCAAGCTGAAATGTGGTCCAAATTATTTCACTTGAAGGAAGGAGAAATAATTATTTCCAACAGGGTGTCTGAAAATAACTGACTCAAAGTGTCCAAAGCCCCAGATCTAAGAGCTGTTCATCACCTGATACAAAACCAAAGTGAAGGAGAAAAGCCAGAATTCTTCAACAGTAAGTTCAAGGACGTCTGAGACGTTAATAGAACTGACTCTGGTTTTATTCTGGTTGAATAGTTACTGCCTCATGGGATGGAGTTGTGCACACATTCACTGCCTCTGCATTTTAGCTGATTTATTTTTAAACCAAAGTGTAACGTGTTCATCTTGTTAATGATGAGGTCTAGCAAGGACAAAATGTTTTCATTACGTTCAGACATGACTTCAAACTTGGGGTGTGCATTAAAGAGCAGTTACCGTGGCATCCTCTCCTCCATAGTGGCTGATGACCCTGAACCCACCCGGGTGTCTCCTGGCCCACTGAGTGATGTTGTAGACCTTCCTGTTGATGACGAGCCACTGGTCGGTCCTGCTGCTGTGTTTCTGGACCTCCTCCCAGGTGTAGACACCTGCAGCCTTCCCGCTGCC